TACGTGAACGAAATAACACAATTGTCGCAGCGCCGTGGTGCTCCCAAGCTCATTGGTGCAGGAAACTGGTCTGCTTCTGGCTCCGCCGAAAGTCCTGTGACCTGCCCTTTTCTGTCCTACTTTAGCCAGATGTTGGTGAAATGATATAAACTTGGGCTTCAGTGTTGGAACCTTTCTAATAACGGACTATCCTGTCACATGTGAGCTGTGTATATTAACTCATGTGTACTTGAGGTATCTAACCAATGAGGCGAGGAGATATACTTGCTTGTTTTCCTCTCTTTCAGCGTATCCCTAAGGAGACAACGTTCTGGATACGGTGTTAACGTGAGAGGATCACAAATACCCAATCAACTGCACGCAGTTTTGGAAGCTAATCCCATCCGCCGACAAAAAAACGAACTGGACGCTCGATTGGCAAGAGCCATATTCTTCGTGTGCAAACTGAACTGAACTGCCCTGCACTGGATTTATTTAAACTTGCTTGCAGCATCCGACCTTGAACGGACGCTTTTTCGAATTTAACTTAACAATGTTCGAAGCTCGGCTTAACCAGGCTGATATATGGAAGAAAGTGGTTGAGGCTATCAAGGACTTGGTGCAGGAGGCAACTCTTGACTGCACTGAAAATGGAATCAGTTTACAAGCTATGGATAATGCACACGTCAGTCTGGTTTCCTTGCTTCTTCGGAGTGACGGGTTCGAGACCTATCGTTGTGACCGAAACCTGTCTCTCGGTCTGAACATTACCAGGTTATTTGAGTTTTACTGCGTCTTGACTTTGCAGTACATCGAAAATTCTCAAATGTGCCAACGCGACAGATGCAGTTACTCTTAAATCCGGGGACAAAGCTGATACGTTAACCCTTGTTTTTGAATCGCGCAGTAAGTGATTTCTGCCCTAGGGCTAACGTTCGCAGACCAGGAGAAAGTTTCTGAATTCGAGATCAAGCTAATGGATCTGGATGTTGACCACTTGGGGATACCGGTAAGTTGGTGGTAAAATTACCTACATGCCTCAGGATACTGATTACAAATGTGTCATAAAAATGCCCTCTTCTGAACTACAACGAATTTGCCGTGATCTAAGTCAGATTGGTGACTCCGTTGTCATATCTGTCGCCAAAGACGGAGTGAGTTTTAGTTCCACCGGAGATCTCGGTACGGGTAACATAAAATTGATGCAATCAGCCAACGCCGACAAACCCGAGGAAGCTGTTTCCATCGAGATGAGCGAGGCTGTTTGCATGACCTATTCGCTGCATTATTTCAATATATTTACCAAGGCGGCACCTCTGTCATCTCAAGTTGTTCTGTCTCTCACCGAGAACGTACCTGCTGGTAAGTATAGCACATCTCAGTTTCAACCTTTTAGTTGTCGAATTCAATATCGAGGACTTGGGTTACATTCGCTACTACCTGGCCCCAAAGATTGAAGATGATGCAGATTAATTTTGTATACGTACACCAGATTTTTTACCAAGAGATTTTATATCGTGTCAGTCATCATGCCTTTTTACTTCCTCGGTGGAGTTCTGTTTCGTGGGAGTCTCAGCTACACCTTGCGTAATACGGCGCAGGGAAAACCGCCAGGCTTCCTGCTACGCTACGTTTTCCGACAGCCAATTCGTCAAACTGTTCAGTAGAACGTAGTCATTTATCTCCCGTGCTGAGTAATTTAGTTCAGCGCTATTCGAAGCACGAACGTGGTGCAATTGTCGGTGTCAAGTAGGTGGTTGTAGATCATACTAGTTGTGGCTAGACCAAATTTTCGTTTTTTAGCCCAGTAACTGCTACTGCCTCTGATCGGCGAGTTTCACTCGCTTGACGAGCTGCTGCTTGTGTGGTCTCTAGGGGTGGTTGCTACGCGCAGGAACAAGATGCCCCACTTCATGTGAGTAGCTGGGACAGGCAAAGCAGAGTGATCGCGAGGTTTATGTTTGTCTGCGTTTCTACTTAGCTTGGGCTGTTATACGAGACCGGAGTATTGATAGACTCAACCCAACGGTTTAGCGGAACGATATTGACTCCTTTACGTATTCTTATTAGCTATGCAATGTGGTTTCGGTGTCAGGTTATCGTACATCATTCGCTCATAGGTCAGCGAATTCACTCGAACCAGTCGTCGAGACAGTTTATCGCAGGTCACTTCGAAGGAATCACAGGATAGTAAAGTTCGCTCACCGTTCAACAAGAGTAAGAAGTTCACCACAAACAACACTTTGTTGGCGCATCTTTCATGACAGATCAGAGAAGAGAATGCGAAAGGTAGAAATTTACTTACCATAGCCGCTCATTGCTGAAGTCCTGGTGTGGCACAAATGTATGAAAACTAGCCAGGAGACTTAGTCGTATAGGTCGCGTCAGGATCCAGGGATGGGGGCTTCGTGATCATTGTAGTAGTCGATCAGACACTGATGGTATGACTTGAGCGGTGTTCGTGCATCTCAGTCTCTTCGAGTCAGTCTACTGAAATTCAACGTTTTCTTTTCAACTCAGCTGTCATGTATCCCACTTCTTCAACCCTATGATCAGCCCAAGGACAGCAACCGGGACCAACGCACGAAAATGCATGGTTAGTGGTTGTACAAAGAAGCTGAAAATGGTGTCCACTGCGTTTGATAAGCGCAGAATAAAATGACGAAGGTTTGCATAGATGCCATGGTCCTCAGGGTGTATTGGGCGTTTGACCCCGTAAAAAGGGCGTCTGATCCGATGAACTGGGCACCGGCTCCCAATGAACTGCGGTTTTCCCGCACCGCCCCGCTGCCTTGCGGGTCAGGCTTTGGTTAACGAGGGGCTCCGGTTGTGGATTCCCCAAGAAAATTCACCTACCTTGGCCTGGGCAACCTGGCAGTATTCCGCTCACATGCAAATCATGTAACATTTTTCTTTTTTATAAAGATTGCTGTACCGTGATTTGTTTGGCACACAGTCTGTCCTCAGACAAGTGTGAAATATATACTCTACCTAATCACTCTGTGCATTTCTTTATGCCTCGTCTTTACGTCATATGCTGGCCTCCACGTGGCTTTCTTCAGCCTGTAACAGCCACTAAAATCAAGACTCGCTGCGGTAGGCGACCGTCGGACATACGCAAAACGTGCCCTAACCAACGGAGTCTACTGAGCTTGATTCGATGAAATAGCAAGTTCTTGTTTGATGTATTCCCAAACACCCAACGACTTACTTCTAACTTACTAACCCGCTCATTCCATACAACCTAGGCCAGAGTGCGTAAGCATCGATTGTCGAACACTGCTAAACCACGGGTGTCTTCTACCCGCAAATTCAAGGTCTCACCGCTGTAAAGTAGAACTGATCGTACGGTGGCGCAGTATACGCGACTCTTCAACTTTAGTGACGCGTCACACCACCACCACAGGTATTTTAGTCCTGCGTACGCTGCTCGGGCCTTGGAAATGCGGTCGGTTATCTCCTTCGATGCAATACCGTCGTTGGTCACGCAGCTACCTAAGTACGAGAAGCAGTCAACTTCAGCTAATTCCTGACCATCTACTTTCAGAACAGAACTCGGTGACACCGAATCTTGTAGCATTACTGTTCACTTTGAAGGTGCAAAGCGCATGCCGAACGGAGCGACAGAACTTGCTAATCTGTCAAATGCTCTTTGTGCATCCTCCATACATTTGAACAAGTAAACGATATCGTCAGCGTACTCCAAATCGCGCAGCTTTTCTCCAGCAGCCCATTCAATACCTACATTTTGGAGACCACTTAGTGTGTTCTCCAGTGGTTCGTCTATGACGAAATTGAACAGAAATGGCGAAAGAGGGCACCCTTGACGTACACCGCTGCTAGTTAAGAAACGACCTACTCCGCTCGCCGTAGACCCGCTACCAGAGGTATGTGAGTAGAGTGAGCTCAGTATGTTCACGTATTTCTGTGGTATTTCTTCGCGAAGGAGTGAACCCATAAGGGATTCACGACCAACTGAATCGAAGGCTCCTTTTAGGTCAAGGAACACAACAACGGCTGATCGACGGTGCGTATGGCGTAGCTCGAGGACTTGACGCAGAGTGAAAATTTGGTCGATACAACCGCAACCTGGTCTTAATCCTGCCTGTGGCAGTTGGGGTCGGTTGCAAACAAATATACAATGTTCGAAGATAGAAAACCAAAGGTGAAAGAGTCGCCACTATTGGGGGAACGACACAGAACACAAAAGTAATATTTAAAGGAAGGAAGTTTGAGTTTCATCCACATCATCTGAAATTCAGGATTGGAAAGGTCCATATTTGGGATCCTGGAGGAGGCAACTGATTAGTGAAATTTAGGCGCAGACACCAGCTTTGGGTAGGAAGGAGAGTGTAGTTGGAGAATTGAAGGTAGGTGGTGTCTGACGAGGGGGAGATTTGCGTTTAGGTCAACAAAGGACGAGCGGAGGAAAATGGTGTACAGAATCAATATTACGGTTCAGTTCGCAAATGTTGGTGAGGGTGATGAGTGCGTAGAGCGAGCGGGAGTACGTAAGCGTTTGTGATTTTGTGTTGTCATGTTTGTGGTGTGAGGAAACCGGTAAGGGTGGTGGTGGCGCAGTGGTTTAGTCGCTGTCACCGGCGTGCTTTGGA